AACAATAATTCAGACAATAATACAACATAATATACATGTAAGAACATTCATTTTATATCTCTCAAAATAATTTCGATATAGCTTGATCAAAGCGATTATATTTTATAAATGTCGAAGATCGGCCTGATCATGCTATCTGATCAATGAACATTTTCGAGACAAAATATTGAGTCGGTTGTAAGTCCCTATTTACATGCACTCAATATAATCAACACTGTCATTATTGACGCCCTGATTGAGCGCTATCCATGGAGAAGATTAACTTTGTTTATTTAAAAAATGTACGCACGTGTTTGAGAAAGGGGGGGGGGGGGGTCCACACAAAAATTATTCCAGGGAGTGTTGAGATCTGGACCTGCAATTTTATGTATTGCAATAAAGTAGTGGCATGGCGACATTTTTATTTTTTTCTTGGTGACAGATTATACAAATACATGTTGCATATGCTAATATTTGATTTCATTACATGTATATCTCCGAGCCTTTAATCAGTTGACCCCTCCCCTTTTTCAATTAAGCATATGCCAGGTATATATTTGTTCCATAATGTATATATATAACTGGATGGTTTGTAGTCTATTGTTTTTTTGAAAACCATTCAATTAACTCTGGATGATTTGTTGTTGATTTTTTTTTCAAGCACCCCCTTCTTTTATTCAAGATTGTTTCGAACGCAACGATCTGTATAGATTAATACAGTATATTTTACAGGTATGTTTATAAGAAGTGCTTTATTTTTCCCATTTTGCTTCTTTTTTTTTCATTTCAATAATCGAAATATTTATTAAAATTCAAAGTAATTATAACACGCCGCTTTTGATCCACCACGAAACGGAATTCCCATTAGCATATTGATGTAAACTTCCGGCCCCCCTTTGGCGATTTCTAGGATTGTTGAAGCAGTAGATCGAGTTTGATGAGGGATTTTCAATATTTGCATGTGTGATGTTGCCTTCTGGTTGCAATGTCCGTAAGTTTAGACCTCGAAAGACTAGCCACAGAAAGAATATGGTTGCAGAGAATTTATTTGACGGAGTTTCGGACGAAAATACAAGTGGATGTGACAGACCTAGAAAAATTCAAGATGACGCCGTTGGGGACCTTGTTTATTATTAGGTATGTGTATATTTTTTTTATTAAAGGAAAAATAAGTAACGTCAGGTGCCTGTGATATAAACAAATGTATTGTTCTTAATACTGTCAGAGTATTCTAATCTGTCACATTCTTCTTCTATATAGTAATTTGTTGTCTTTAATATTTTTAAAAACATTTTCCTAACTTGTATACTTGCCCTAAAGGGTCCAGGATTGGTAGCAACAGATAGTATTACAAACTTAGTATAAAACATATATGTATATGTGTATGGTAGACTTCCATTTTAGCTCACAACGACGAAGTCGATATGAGCTTTTGAAATACCGTCGGTGTCGGCTTCCCGGTTAAAGTTTTTGGAGCAGGTCTACATGTATTCCCAAGTTACGACCTTCGCTAGAAAATAATAATTATATATTGAATATAATAATTATATACTATTAAAAAATCAGTTATATCAAATTCTAATTACATTCTTATACCTATAACTTCTTAAATTTGTTTAATTTTAATAATTAAGCGAAAAAAGTTGGATTTAAACAGTAAATACACTTCATTTTACCATGATGCGCGAAATATTGCGCAATGGAAACTATGGTCGACCCCCTTAAATATAAATTAGCAATTCAGATGACTCTGCCATAAAATATTTGAAAGATTAAAAACTTATTTGATTTCAAATTAATTTGTTCATAATTTTGAAAATAAACACGTTATTCTACATTTAGCAAGTTGAGATAAAGCCACTTTCAGAGCCTTGAGAAACTCCAAATGCAGTCATTTTTCAGGGACCATATTTACTGCAGATAAATGCCGATCATGAGCAACAGAAAACAAGATGTGTGAATGTCAGAGTTTTCGTCATCTGGTTAATAGGTTAATATACGAGTACACTAATCCTTAAAAGAGGTGTAGTCGAGGCCTGAAAGGGCCTTTGACCCATTGCTTTTAATAAATGTAGTGGCTGCTACCAGTACATGAACCCCCTTAAAATCCACAATTTAAATGCTTGTAATGTAGTTCTCAACAATTAGTTGATAGAAAGCCTAAACTAGTTATAATAATCTAACTGTGTCATAGTTAAATCGGGTCCGTAGGACAATATCATTTTAACGATAGAACATTCTATCTAAGCCTAAACACGTCTTTGTCTTTTCCGGAATTCACAAGAGTTGTGAATTTTATCGTGCGGTATAGTGAGGAGTGCGGGTTGCCAATAAACCCATTCTCTTGCCTTGCCAGCTTCCTCAACAAAGGTTGAAATTCACTCAAGATACACGTCCGTGTATGAAGAGAGCAATGAAAGTTATCTTATGTCTTTAATATTTAGCTGATTAAAACCTGACATATGTGTTATATTAAAATTTATTTATTTAATAATTATACTATTTTCCCGAGTATTGGTTTCGTTGTCAAACTTTACACTTTGTTATGTACAGTATATTATATCTTGAATACTGCTTCTATCATCTGTATATTTGACTTGACATCGACCCTTGTCCAATCTAGAGCCGACAGTCAAAGTAACTTGAAATTTGGAATTCTGTACATAACAATGTATTTTTATACTGGAATAAACGAAACGTGACATTTTGTTAGATTACACACGGTCGCAAAACAATATTCCGGGATATCTCGTACCGTACACATAGCAGTGTAAAACGCTAGTTAAATAAATAAAGGACTTAGATCTTAACATTTTATTAATTTTACCAGAACCCCTGACCCTGGGCCCATGAAATTCACAATTTTCGTAAAGGCATTCTTGTTCATCATAGCTATATTCTCGGTTTCTTTACTCGATACCTTGGAGCACAGAAAAAGATATTCAAAGAATTAATGCATTTTTTAACTATGTAATCAGTAGAACCCCATCCTATCACCACAACCCTGACGCCATAAAATTTTTAATTTTAGGAGAGGCAATCTTACTTACCATAAATATGTACTTAGTTTTTTTTTTAAATAATACCTAGAAGAAAAGAAGATTTTCAAAGAATTTATGCAATTTCACTATAAAATCAATATAACTCCAGAGCCCTTGATCCTGGGTCCATGAAATTTAAATTTTTGTTAAGGCACTCTTGCTCATTATAACTTTGTACTTAGTTTGTTTCTTATTACCAAAAAGCAGAGAAGAAGATTTTCAAAGAAATTATGCAATTTTACAATATAATCAATAGAGCCCCACTTTAACACCAGACCCTGGGGTCCTAAAATTAACAATTTTAGAAGAGGCACTCTTTGTTATCATAATTATGTACTAAGTTGGTTTATTTAATACTCGGAATCTTTTAAAGAAATAATACATTTTCACTATATAATCAATATAGCCACACCCTAACACCAGAACCCCTAACCCTGGGGCCCTAAAATTCACTATTTCGGTAGAGACACTTGCTCACTGACCGGTCGGCAGGGGATGCTCACTCCTCCATGGCACCTGATCCCACCTCTGATGTTTCGAGGGTCCGTGTTTACTCTGTTCTTATTTTGTATTGTTTAATGGAGATTGAATACTGTTCGTTATCTCCATATCATTCACTATAACTATGTACTTAGTTATTTTATTTGATACCCAGGAGCAGAAGAGAAGACTTTCAGAGAAATAATGCATTTTCAATGCATAATCAATATAGCCCCACCGAAGCACTAGAACTCCTGACCCTGGGGTTATGAATTTCACAGTTTTGGTAGTGGACTCGATGCATCCTGATGACAATTATGCCAACTGGTTAACTGCTTGATGCCCAGGAGTAGAAGATTTTTAAAGATTGCACTAATTTAAGTGTTTTTGGCCCCATCCCCCATGAAATTCACAATTTTTGTTCCCCTTCACCCATAGATGCTATATGCCAAAATTGGTTGAGGTTGGTTCAGTAGGTTCAAAAAGAAGCGGAAAATGTTCAACGCACCACGAACGACGATGGACGAAAACAGATGGGGGGGGGGGGGGGTGAGTGTTGCACGCTCGGTGGTAGATCCGCCTTTGAGTTGCTACATGTATAACCCCGATTTCTACGTGATTATGTATTAAATTCATATTTAAATAATTTGTTTAACATGGATCGTGAATGTGCTCGACTGTATTGTTACATGTAAACGGGATGTACGCGATTATGTGATAAAAATCGTTAGTAATGTTTGTCCTTATGTTATGAATAGTTGGTATCTTGTTTGTTTTTAGGGAGCTGTTAGACAACAAGCCTCATAATACAGTGTTCTTTTTTGCATCAGTTGTCCAGGTATGTCCATACAGAAGTTTTTCAAAATATGAACAAACTATTTTTGAATTCAAATTTATTGAAAACAATTATGGAAAATTGACAAAGATCATCCAGTAAAGATCTACATTGTCTCTTCCATAGGAATAACTTCGAGAGCCTTTATGAGGTCCTTTTTCAAGCATAATCTATGAAGTAAGAAAACAAAATAAAAGACTCATCTAAAGTTTATATCCAGAGAGCGTTTATCAAAACATTTTTACCTCGAATATAGTAAAGAATTTCTACTTGTCAAAATTAAAATGCACTCTACTGACTCTAGCAGGCCAGACTCCATTTTACTGCATTGGGAACTTATCACTCTCGTATCAGGTTATGAGCCACGGTGAAATGAAATTAATATTGATTGATTGAATACTGTTTAACTTCCCTTTCCAGAATATATCGCTGATATGGAAACGTTACCATTGCCAGTGAAGGGCTCCAAATTTAGGCCTTTACTCGGCACTTTCGAGCAGGGAGGGTTCTTTATCGTGACACACCTGCTGTGACACGAGGCCTCGGTTTATACGGCCTCATCCGAAGGACCGCCCCATTTAGTCGCCTTTTACGACAAGCAAGGGGGTACTGAGGACCTATTCTAACCTAGATCCCCACGGGGTAATTAATATTGAATGTCATTACCTAGTGACGCCTGACCATCATCAGTGTCCCTCTGACGGATTCCCCGTTCCTAACTTTGGGATATCAAGGCTCATACCACGTATCTGGAGACCAGGGCCCGTTCAGGAAGGCGCGGGAACAACTTTTGAACCACCAGCCTCCTTTATAGTGAGCAGCACAGTTTTTATAACTACTCCCGTCGTTGTCTCTGTCAGACGTTGAGAATTTCATGCCAGACAGACCAAAGTAAAAAGAGCCCGTGTCCAATAAACTGTCGCCTAGAGTTTTAAATAAAAAAAAAAATGACACAAAACAGCTTCATGCTTGGGACAATCTACTCCTTGTTAAATTGTCGCTCTTGTGGCGCATTGGTTAAAGCGTATGCTCTAGGGTTACGAAGTAGAGAGTTGCTCCTTACTTCGCGGGTTCGGATCCCCGAGTGGGATGTGGAGACCGGTCTTTCGGATTAGATCGTGTAATAGATTAATTATATACTATATAATTATACAGAAAATTTATTATTTCTTGATGTTTTAAAAATGCAAAATTTATATACATGAAATATGTCCTATGATATACACTAATCAACCGTCCACAGGGGCTTGAGACAATCTTAGAAAAATCGGGTATATACATAATAGGGGAGAAGGGGCCTAACAAGCCACCATTAATTCCTTGGTGCCTTGCTTCAAACTCTAAAAAACTTCGATTTTGTTTGGAAAAATAAGGTAATGCACGAAAATTGCATTGAAAAAATGGTGTATGGCTAACGAGGGTGACCTTATTCTTCGAAGTTCGTATATTTTTTTTCTAAGTTTAAATGAAGAAAGGTATATGATCAATTTATGACAATAAAGGACCATATTCTGCCTTTCAACTGACAAAGCTTTTTCGTGGGGTTTTAGGTCAACTGAGTCTTTCAGGTGACCTATTTCTATCCCTTTTTGTCCGTCGTCTTGCGTCGTGTGTTAACATTTGAACATTTTCAGCTTCTTTTCTGAAACTACCGTACCAACCAGATTCGAATTACGGCATCTGTAGGTGAAGCGGAACGTAAATTGTGAATTTTGTGGTCCCAGCACCCCCCTGGGGCCTGAGAGTTTGGGCCAAAACCACTAAAATTAATGAAATCTTTAAGTAGAAGTGCATTTTGTCTTTGTTACTCTGATCTACTTCTGGGTATTAAGTAACTAGAGTAAGCATGCTAAGTGTATAATTATTGTAAACCTATTGTGCCTTTTTTTCAAAATTGAGAATTTTATAAATATCCTCTGGTGTATGATTGATTGATTGTATTCTGTTTAACGTCCCTAAACAGAATATTTCACTGATATGGAGACGTCACCATTGCTGGTGAAGGGCTGCAAATTTAGGCCTATGCTCGGCACCTACGGCCTTTGAGCAGGGATGGATCTTTATCCTGCCACACCTGCTGTGACATGGGGGTCTCGGTTTAAACGGTCTCATCCGAAGGACCGCCACATTTAGTCGCCTTTTACGACAGGCAAGGGGGTACTGAGGACCTGTTCTAACCCGGATCCCCACGGGGTGCCTCTGGTATAAGGCATGCACCAAATTCAACTGTTGGAAAGTTGATACGTGATACTCAGGTGACCTTTCAGGCCCATGGGCCTCTTGTTTTTAAAAATAAAAATCAAAGTTTTTCCAGATTGAAACGAGGCACCAAGGAATTAATGGCGGCTTGTTAGGTCCCTTCTCACCTTTTATACTATATAACCGATTTTTAAAAGATTGTCTTAAGTCCCTGTGCAACCGTCCAGGTAACTGAAGTGTAGGTTTTTTAGTTATACCCCTGGGTGTTACGTGGTATGTGCAGGAATGAAGATGTTTTATAACAGGCATGTCATTTTGGAATGACTTCGAGTCCCTTATAAATACTCTAATGACAAGATTTAATGTCAGCCAAGTAATCAACAAAAGAGAGCAGCTGTGTGTTCAAGTACAATTATTTGATATACATCAAGAGGCTGCATTTTGGCCAATTTACAGTTAGTACACCAGAAATATTGATCCCAATATGATCAAGTTTGCCATTATTCAATTCTAATCTACTGTAAAATCACATCGTGGATAGAGCGTCTGCCCAAGAGTCGCGGAGTGAAAAATTCTTCAGAAAAACATTAATCAACAATCAAACAATAAATCTCTTGGGGTCATACTTTCAAGGTTAGGGGAATTTGATTTTATGAAAAATTGACGAGTTGTTATATATTTGAAATTTAATATGAAAAAAGTTGATTTCATGGGTCACCTTACACCATTAAAATCAACGAAAATTAAACACCAAAGGAATAAGTGGTTTCAGAGTAGAATGGAAAGTAAAGTAACGAGGTAAGATAATATTCTAAATACTGTTATCAACACACGTCTATCGCAAATTTAACAAACTGTGCATACACATAATATGTAACATTACAATCATGTAAAGCTTAATCTGGTCGACAGGGGATGCTTACTCCTCACCTGATCCCACCTCCGATGTTGAGAGATCCTTGATTGCTGTGCTAATATTTTGTATTGTTTAATGGACTTTTGATCTTGAATCTTGTTCGTTATCTCCTTATGTTTCAAAGGTTAGGTTGAAGTTTTAATGATTTTTTTTTTTTGGTTAATAACTCGTTTCACACCCCCTTCCCCCTCTCTCGTTTATTGCCCTTCGTTAGATATCTTATTTCACATTAAAAGTGAAATTTGCCAATATATCTGACTCAGTGTAACATTCTACCTGTCACCTACCTAAGGTCCCCACTGCAGTTCCCGCCAGAAATAGTTTATACTTCTCCGTTTCGTTAGAAATGGTGAATTTTTCGTACAACTCATACAGACTTCTACCATTCTGGAGAGTGATGGAGACATAAAGGGACGAGTTGTTTTCTTTTGTTAAGTGATGAATTACGTCATTTCCTGTATAAAGACTCAGGTGACCTATGTCTATCCTTTTTCGTCCGTTGTCGTGCGTCGTGTGTTAACATTTGAACATTTTCAGCTTCTTCTCCTAGACCACAAAACCAATTTCAACCAAATTTGGTATACAGCATCTATAGGTAAAGCGTAACGTAAATTGTGAATTTTATGGTCCCCACCCCCTGGGGCCTGAGGGGTGGGGCCAAAACCACTAAAATTAATGAAATTATTAAGTGGAAGTGCATTTTGTCTTTGTTACTCTGATATACTTCTGTGTATTAAGTAACTAGAGTAAGCATGCTAAGTGTATAATTATGATAAACCTATGGTGCCTTTTTTAAAAATTGTTAATTTTATGTTCTCTGATATAAGGCATACACCAAATTCAATTGTTGGAAAGCTGATACATGATACTCAGGTGACCTTTAAGGCCCGTGGGCCTCTTGTTTAAAGATAAAAATCGAAGTTTTTACTGATTGAAACGAGGCACCGAAGAATTAATGGCGGCTTGTTAGGTTCCTTCTCACCTATTGTACTATATAACCGATTTTTTAAAGATTGTCTCAAGTCCCTGTGCAACCGTCCAGGTAACTGAAATGTAGGTTTTTTAGTTATACCCCTGGGTGTTACGTGGTATGTGAAGGAATGCAGATGTTTTATGACAGACATGTCATTTTGGAATGCCTTCCTTCTAGTCCCTTCTAAATACTCAAATGACAAGTGTTAATGTCAGACAAGTAATCGACAAAAGAGAGCAGCTGTGTGTTCAAGTACAAGTACAATCATTTGATATATATCAAGAGACTGCATTTTGGACAATTTACAGTTAGTTCACCAGAAATTATCGATCCCAATATGATCAAGATTGCTATCATTTATTCTAATCAACTGTGAAATCACATCGTGTTTACAGCGTCTGCCCTAGAGTCGCGGAGTAAAAAATTCGTCAGAAGGACATTAAACAACAATCAAACAAAAAAAAATCCTTGGGTCAAACTTTCAAGGTTAGGGGCAATATTTGTTCATGGGAATTTGATTTTATGAAAAATTGCCGAGTTGTTATACTAATATATTTGAAATTTAATATGAAAAAAGTTGATTTTATGGGTCACCTTACACCATTAAAATCAACGAAAATTAAACACCAAAGGAATAAGTGGTTTCAGAGTAGAATGGAAATTAAAATAACGAGGTAAGATAAAATTGGAAATACTGTTATCAACACACGTCTATCGCAAATTTAACAACCTGTGCATACATATTAATAATATATAACATTACAAATGTGTCAAGTTTACTCTGGTCGACAGGGGATGCTAACTCCTTACCTGATCCCACCTCCGATGTTTTAGAGATCCGTGATTGCTGTGCTCATATTTTGTATTGTTTAATGGACTTTTGATCTTGAATTTTGTTCGTTATTTCCTTATGTTTCATAGAATAGGTTGATTGATTATTGTTTTTTAACGCCGAGTCGGCAATATTTAAGCCATATTTCGGCGGAGAAATTTATATATTGTATGAACGGTTTTGAAAGTTTTGGGTTTATCTGGTGGCCCCCAGTGAGCCTACTCTTTTTCGAACTCCAGGTTAGGTTGAAGTTTTAATGATTTTTTGGGGGTAAATATTTCGTTCTACATCGCCTTCACCCTCTCTAGTTTATTGCCCTTCGATAGATATCTCATGTTACATTAAAAGTGAAATTGTAACAATCTACCTGTCACCTACCTAAGGTTCCCTCTGCAGTTCCCGCCAGAAATAGTTTATACTCCTCTGTTTCGTCAGAAATAGCAAACTTTTCGTACAACTCATACAAACTTGTACCATTCTGGAGTGTGATGGAAACATAAAGGGAGGAGTTGTTTCCTTTTGTTAAGTGAAGAATTACGTCATTTCCTGTATAAAGATTAAAAGGTGAATTGTAATGCACATTGTTTGTAAAGTAATTTTCTTCCAAAATAAGATAACATTCTTCATTTATTTCAACTAATTGGGGACCATTGGGAAGAGATCATCATATTCAACAGAACATTTTTTTTTTCTTGACCTCGATAATGTAAAAAATTTGTTTAACTATTCAATTTTGTTTCATGGACCTTTTTTTTAATATTATAATCACGGGGAAGGATACAAGAAACAAGGGTTGATATGCCTCTCATTTAACTAATTTGCGACCATTGGGAAGAGATCATCATATTCAACAGAACATATATTTTTTTCTTGACCTCGACAATATTAAATATTTGTTTAAGTATTTAATTTTGTTTCATGGACCTTTTAGTTTATTGTTATAATCATGGGGAGAATAAAAGAAACAAGCGTTCTTATGCCACTCATTTAAACTTAATGTTTCGGAACTATCAGTATGAAATGACAGATAAATGTACATTTATGTATTTAAATTAGATCTTAATTTACTCTGCTAAATTGATATTTCTCTAAAATGAAATAGACCATTTGTGAAATATGAAATTGGAATAAGGGGCCAGTTTTAATAGGATTTATATTAACCGATCCAGTCATTTTGTTCCGGTGTTCCGAAACCATTCTTATACGCCGCCCAGTTCTCATCAAAGCTCAGGGATCCATCCACTCGTTTTTGTATGACCTTCCAAAAGAAAAGAGATATCCGGTTATTCATTTCATTATTACTGTGACGAATATTTCTTAGATAGGTGTAATACAGGTTCATATTGTGAATTTCTTGTCTCCTATCAATCCCTTGTACGGCAGAATAACAGATTCAAATGAACATTTCTTTTGCCAATATCAAGACTTATAGCTGAACACGACTCGTAAATAGGCATACATCATTTCGATATCATAATCTACGATACATCAACACCACGGTATACTCTTCAGATTCGTCACACCTGCTTTATTGTCAAAGAATCGACGTGGAATGGCGACCCGTGTTCGTGCTGGTAATCTTTCATTACTCTATACCGGTGTCGACTGATTCCACTGAACAGTGTCAAAGTCCTGCCCTTTATATAAGGGGTCTGCAGGTATAGTAATTCTCTGAACAAAAATGGCGGACACATTCTTTTTAAGAATTGCGTTCAGATTTAATTAAGAATTCTATAACGATTATTGCCGAGATCAAAGAAATGCTGCGGATATGGTTAACCAATAAATCACGAACGTCATAAAATAATTTTCAGCTCAAAAACACGTATCAAAATTACATTTCAAATGCATATTTGACTGTAGAATGAAATACTTTAGACATTAATGTGTCGTCTTTTGCATTTTAATTGTGCACTGTAAATTGCAAAAGGGTGTTGATAACTGTCGGTTTTTATAGCTAAGCGGGGCTGTTCCACAAACCTCAATACGCAGTTTTAGTCCTAATAAAGCAGTAATTAAAATAGAAACATGATTCCGTTATTGTATATTCCATAAAATTATTCAATATACAGACCCTGAGACGTGCTACTACCCCACACGCCCGCTGCACGAACGGTACACGAATGCTACACGGTTTGCACGAAACGCTGCACGGTTTACACGAAACGCTACACGGTTTGCACGAAACGCTACACGGTTTGCACGAAACGCTTTGCGCGAAAGGCTGCACGGTTTACACGAAAGGCTGCACGAAACGCTTTGTACTCGTTTCTCACACGCTTTGTACACGATTCTCGCACGTTTTGGCCTCGGTTTGGATTTTATACTCGGAATATCTCGGGCATTATTACGGTTTTATCATTAATTAAATGGAAATCTACTTTCACAAAGCCACATTTAGCAGCTGTTTAAATTAAATATCAGTACACTAGTACATGTATCATATAAACCATTAGAAATATCTAATACTCTGACAGTTGTAATTCATTAAAAAATAATTGTCATTTTGTGTTTATTTATCCAAATGTTTAAAAACGAAATGCCGGTATCATGAATGCCTTCTTGATGAAATACAATTTTTATATATTAGCCATTCATTACAATGTATCTCCTGCAATTAAATATTTTTACGAGTATAGTTTAATAAATTAAACAAAAATGCGATTTCTTTCAGCAGGAATATGAACTCATTGATTTTAAATAATATAGATGATATTGTGTTTGAATTCCGTGGGCGGATTATTTTTCTTGAATTTGATTTAGTAATAAAATTTGCCTATATACTCTACAAACGATTATTGATACATTTTTAAAGATTTTTTTTTATCTTACTTAAGCATTATCTGTAGGAGGGAAACCGGTAAGGGGGTGTCTTAATCTATTTTTATTTTCTTTCTCTTTTTACATGAAGCTCATCAAATAAAATCAGTATACCCATCATACTGTAAAATCCTTCAAAACCCAACTAGACGTATATTACATGTGGACATTAATTAATAGTCACGGTATTTGACTATACATTGTACATACAATGTAGATCGATCTTTACACCGACATTCAGGTATATTACAAGAAAACGGAAAAATCTTAGATGAATTGTACGTGATTGATAAAACAAATATTATACAAATAATAATAATTTACCCCTGAACTTTTCATACATGATATTCATGGAAAGATTACCAAATCAGGTCTGTTTATTTTACTGTTTACGGCTAGAAATTCGGATTTACAAATAAAAGATGAAATCCGCTGATATATAAGTTGAACCAATTAAATATTCATAGAATCATTTTATTTCAAAACAATAAAACCCAGTCGTAATTTATAAGTGTCATTAAGCCGTGAACTCAACATGTACATATAGCAAAACAGGTTTTTACTTGCCATGCACTCGGAGCCCGTGATCATTATTGTTTACATGACCTTGATCACAGTTCAAAGGCGGAAAGAAGATTCCAATATATTGTAAGGACCTGTCAGATGTCTATAATTTAACCTGTTGAACTTTGTAATAGTTATTTGGTGGGTGGACTTTACTTGTAATGATATTTCATGTGTGTCAAAAACGTTGTGACAACATTGGCCGAGAATGTTAGATTTTGTATTTATTTTTACATGTCATGAATTAATTACCTTTCATCTTAAATCTGCATGTATTTCTTGAGTTAACTGTCATTATTTTAGCAGTTCTACATGTCTGGATTAGCTGTAATAGTTTGAATTATCCGCTGCCATGTCACTTGTTTACATTCTGTCTGCCATTTTTATATCGGCGCATGTTATGTACACAGTTTCGTATTTTACCAAACATGTTATTTATGCTATATTACGGGCATAATTACTTGCTATTTATTATGTTTATTATTATTGTGGGTTCTACTATTCATTTTAGCCATTATTATTCCCAATTACATGTGTCTACAACTTGCACTATATATTCGTATCTATCCGCGATATCGTCTGCATACTCAGCAAGATTACTTATGTGAAATTTACTAGTTTCAGAGATAAATTGTTTACTTACTTATTATGGACACATCTTTTGTAATCCATGTTTATTGATTATTTTGTCTTTTCACATGATAGTTCCAGGATTTGTTTATAATCTAAGTTGTACGACAATTTTGTCCGACAGTGCGACACGATTTTCATTTTGTACGATGTCGTACATTGTCGTGATTGGTGGAACGTCGCCGTACAGCATTTTTATTGGTTGAATCTAGTCATGTGACCCTTTTCCGAAGGTTATATATATGGGCCGATTTCATTATGTAAACAGATAATTTGCCGAGTTGACAGGCGCGTATATTTCAAAGAGACAATTCCAAGATCCGCCCATATTTTTCACAGTAGTCTTTTACAGCATTACAATCGTGATTTCATGTGAGAAAATGATCGACAATTATCTCCCAACACACTGGACACCTATTTAATTGTAATTAACTGTGGGGATCATCCTAGTATAGCCACTGTACACCCCCCCCCCCATTTTTATATAATAGTAGCCTGTACGGTAGACGCCACCAGAGTTTATTATTGTACCTGTTGAAATGAGAACTGATTTATGATTAATAAATATTGTTGAGACCAAGACAAATCTTGTGTTTTCCCTATAAGCTGAGGAACAAGGATTTTAGTACAGGAGTACTTACCAGTATTTATTTTGTAGCGTCCCTGACTTAAGCTTGGCCATTCCCAGGGAGCTTACAATTTTTGGTGTCAGAAGTGGGATGCCTATTTTCCTAAAGGCATCCAGTGATACAAACCCATTCCATGTCCAGTAACCGCCCAGCTGTCCAGTGTGTTGGTTTTTATTGTATATAGTGTCCATAGTGTGTGTATATTATAAATATACAAATTTACTGAAAAATAATTATTTTCAAAAATTTGATTTATTAGCCATTATTACACAAGTGGACCATGGCAGAGTGCTTTTATACCTCTCCTGACCCAGAAATACAGTTTAATATTCACAGTGAGGCAGGTCAAGGTGACCTACCCCCTTCTCCCAAGCAGGTTCGACTAGAGGGAATCAATCATTTACCAGCTCCAAATATAGCCCCTGAGATGCTCCGAACACCAATTATACCAGACTTTGATAGAATTCCTGTCCCAAGACGTCAGCTTGGCAACCCTATAGGTGACGTTACCCAGCAGGATATGTACCTTGCAAGGGGCCCACTCGATTGGGACCCTTCTAGAAGCAAAGGGGAATGTTGGAAGGGTTGGAATATGTATGTCTAAATCAAGTGTTCAGAAGGATATTGAATAGGATGGAATATTATCTGCGATGTTTTGAATTACTGCAGTTGTTGAATTTCAAGAATTTGAATCCGGTTTTTGTAAAGCATGTTAAATGTTAGTTCGAAAGGGAAACTTGAGATAATTAAGAGTGGAAAAATTAATTTAATATAATAGTATTGGGAATTTTTTTTTTTTATTTATTTAAAGAAAGATTTAAAACATCAAGTGTCTGAGACAGAAGAATATTAAAGAGCATGTAAAAAAAAAATAAAACAATTATGGTCAAATCAGGGACCTATTTATGGCTCAAATCTGCACCCCATATTACATGGTAAATTATGAAACTGTGTTCAATGGTTGATTTTACTGCAATTACATAACAGAAAAAATGCTTCTTAACAGACGTACACTTCATACATGATAAAAATACATTTTGCAACTGTATTTTGTTTTAAGTTAGGTTTATTTACAATAATAAAAATCCCCCAAGTTTTCACCAAACCGCTTGACGCCATATTAGAATGCTATCCTTCAGCTATCCTTCCATCTCTGACGTGGAAGGCTGAGAAGGCCTTCTAAGTCTACCCTACCAAACCAATCGAGCAGACAGAATGGTTATTCTGGAATAAGAAGGGTCCCAATCGAGTGGGCCCCATGAAACCTGAGCCTTATAATGGTAAGGAGGATTGGGACGAATATATTTCCCATTTCCAAGATTGCGCCGAATTAGGTAGGTGGTCTGATAGAACAAAACTTCTCTTCCTTGCTGCCAGTCTCCGTGACCAGGCTAGAACCTACTACATGAGTCTATCTGCTGAAGACAAAGAATCCTTCCAATCCCTAAGTGGTAAATTAAATCAGAGATTCGGAAGTAGTAAAAATCAAAACAGATGGCTGTCCAAGCTGTAGTTGAGGAAGAGGTTACCAGGTGAGTCTATTGCTGTTCTTGGTGATGATATTCGCCAGTTGGCACAAAGAGCGTACCGTAATCTTGATGCACTTGCCCACGAG